AAGTGTGTTAATCACATCAAGTAGTTAACATGAATTATACTTTTGGTCCGTATAGTTTTGCTAATTTTAACTTAGACACGTCACACATGTATTTAAGAAAGTTGCAATCATACTCTTAGTTTAATTAAGTTTATAATTAAGGATAAAAAATTTAAAAAAAAACACTCAACTCAACAAAACATGTAATGAAAACTAGCGGCAGCAACGCGGCATCTTACGATTGGTCTGTCAAGAAGTCAAAGCACACACCTCAGCTCAATCAATATCTCTCTATCTCTCTCTCACCGTCTCTGTCAAGCCTGTCTTCCTCGGAGACTCGTGGCGAGAAATTAAGAAAGAAGAAGAAGAAGAGGAAGAAACTGCGTCAGCTAAGAAACACACAGGAACCCCAGAGATTCAATCGATTTCTAGAATTTCATGTTTCACTCACCTCAAATGGTGAAGAAACGAGTCCCAGAATGGCTCAACAGCTCGCTCTGGTCTTCCACGCCTTCTCCTTCTCTCGACGAGGATCGCGTTCAACCCTACACCTCCAAGCCCACCGCCACCACCACAATCACCAGTTCTTCTTCTACCTCTGACTACGAGCCACCGTCCATGGTTGACCCACCAATCCCTGTGCCCCCTCCCAAACCCACCAGGGAAGACAAGCCTCCTCCGCAGCCCCAATCCACAGATTCACTCCCCGATCACGAAGACAAGAACAACACCACTCCTTCCCCCGAAGACATCTCCAGACAGGCTCAGCTCTTGGTCGAGGTTAGCTTTTCTTTCTCTCTCTCTCTCTCTCTCTCTGCATGTAGAGATGTTGAATGCTGGTGTTTTTTTTTAATTTTTTTAATTTTGTGTTTGTAGCTATCGAGAAAGACGATTAATTTGCGCGAATTGCGGAGAATTGCTTCCCAGGGCATACCAGATGGTGCCGGCATACGTTCTACTGTGTGGAAGGTGATTATGATTCGTTTTTGTATTTGATTTCATTTTGTGTTAATGTTGTGTTTGTTTCTAGAGAAAATGCGGTAATAGTTTTAGCTTATTATGGATAGAATGATAATTTGAGGACCTCAAAAGTTACTGGACTAGCCAATAGAGCTTGACAGTGTGAATAAAGTGTGCAATTTTGAGTTTTCTTGTTGCA